TTTTTTTAAAAAAATTTTTTTTTTTTATTAATACCCCCGGGGTTTTTTTAAACCCTGGGGGGGGGGGGCAAACAGCTGTGCATACCTCTCTATCAGTGTTATAGAGGGTGAACAATTTATGAGTTTACCCTGTAAAAGCTTTATACAGGGTAAAACGGATTTATTTGGGGTTTGGACCCCATTGGGAGTTGGGCATCTGAGTGTTAAAGACAGGAACACTTCTTAAGCGGTTTTCAATTAAGCCTACAGCTGTTCGGGAACGTGGTTCAGACCTGGGTCTGGGTTTGCAGCAGGCTAGTGGGTCTGGCTCAAACCAGGCAGGGCTCTGGAGTCTCAAGCTGACAGGGCAGGAAAGCAGGAGCAGAAGTAGTCTTCGCACATCAGTTGGCAGCCCCAAGGGGGTTTCTGTGATCCAACCCATCACACCAACAAATTACAACAAAATACAATATAAGCAAATGCCACCAAACCCGGGAGAAGCAAAGAACAGTCTATTATCAACTACTCTATAATTCTGTGCTAATCCTTCTTACTGTATATGGAACTCCGATTCTATGGTGATGGGTGCCCTAGAAAAACGTATGATAGAGAGGCATCCCCTGTCATTACAGTTGCACAGTTTTCTTCATTCCCTGTGCTAAACCACTGTGTAACATTGTCATGCTTCATTTGACAGCTACAGCTCTGCAATGTAAAGGTGGCTGCATTTAATTGGTAAAGGACATCTGTGAAGTGACCCTGCAGGTATACACATGGGCTCTGCAGTGCTGTAGGAAAGAAGGTGACACTGTATATAATTGAATGCTATTATGAATGTTATAGGAGAGTTCTACAAAAAAATATTTCAGAGGGGCAACCGTGTTAGTCTGTATCAGCAAAAACAACGAGGAGTCCTTGTGGCACCTTAGAGACTAATGAATTTATTTGGGCATTTACTCTAATCCCTCAGACAGAGACAAACACCTACAGGATCTCTATCAAGCGTTCTTAAAACTACAATACCCATCTGGGGAAGTGAAGAAACAGATTGACAGAGCCAGAAGCGTACCCAGAAGGCACCTCCTCCAGGACAGGCCCAACAAAGTAACAGAACGCCACTAGCCATCACCTACAGTCCCCAACTAAAACCTCTCCAGTGCATCACCAAGGATCTACAACCTATCCTGGAGGATGATACCTCACTCTCACAGACCTTAGGAGACAGGCCAGTCCTCACTTATAGACAGCCTCCCAAGCTGAAGCAAATACTCACCAGCAACCACACACCACACAACAAAAAACCAACCCAGGATCCAAATCCTGCAACAAACCCCGTTGCCGACTCTGTCCGCATATCTATTCAAGGGACACCATCATAGGACCTAACCACATCAGCCACACCATCAGGGGCTCATTCATCTGCACATCTACCAATGTGATATATGCCATCATGTGCCAGCAATACCCCTCTGCCATAAACATTGGCCAAACTGGACAGTCTCTACACAAAAGAATAAATGGACACAAATCAGACATCAAGAATTGTAACATTCAAAAACCAGTAGGAGAGCA